TTGGTCTCCAGCGAACACTATACAATATAACTCCAGGGGTGACGATATTTGATGAGAACACCCTTCCTGTTGTGGTTTTGGGTGCTCTCTGCAATTTCTTCTTCTGCAGTTCCTCCTTCGCGTGACTGCAGCCGCGGTAGTTGGCGGAATGCGGTGTCTCTCCATTGACGAACAGTCTGTCTCAAGCAACCTCAGGATGCGACAATATCAAGCAAAACCTTAAAACTAACCTTTTGAAGATGTTGTTCCAAGACTTCGACGATTGTCAGGGCATACTTGATATTTCTACTAGCAGCCACCGACAACATGTCGATCTTTGCCTTGCTGTTTGTGCATAGCTTAGGTAAGAAACGCGCAAAATCTTCAGGGATCTTGGCGATCTTGGCCATACTGGAACACAACACACTCACTAACGTGACCTTCTACTACAAATTGTTTCTTCGTTTACCTCAAATCAAAATGGCTACCTACGTATCCATATCAATGATGAAACACGGCCCTTAATTGGTCTCCAACGAACACTATACAATATAGCACTTTTCAGTCTCCAATCACATCGTTTGTTGCTTTATGCGAGAAGTTGTAACTTCTACATCATCCGATAGGTGTCACAATCGTCGCAATGGAGAAATGATGCTTGGATTTGGAAATAAATTGTAAAAATAATAAATAGGCACCACTAATACTAAATACATATATATAAAATTGTTTGCCATGGAATACGGTACTTAAAGTTTGAAAAGTAATTGATTTAATATGACAAGGTTATCTAGGCCAAATGGGCAGCTTTTGCAGTCAAGGTGAAAGACAAAATGAGTGCAAGGAAAGAAGATGGCGGACTGAGATTAAGTTGTATACACGGGCTGAATTAANAAATAAACTCATGTTTAAAGAGTTGGAAGAAACTACCGTCAAACTTGAGGTTATACCTGGTGTAGCGGTGAATGTGAAGTCGGACGACTCTCAAAATAGTTGGCTAAAGACCGAATGTAAAAGGTATAGTAATATTGGAAAGAAGACCATAGGAACTGTACATATACCCCATACTTTCCTGTAACTGCTAATAACCGGTATAACGTTCTATTAAATCTAACGGACTACCCATCAGGTGGAGAAGATGGCGCATCTAAAACACAAAGAATTGCATCGGTGAAGAAGTTGAAGAATCATCGTGATACAGAAAATGCACAGACTAGGCTTTAAATAAAGCATCGTATTGGTGCACCAAAGAAAGTGCATAATCGAGATGAGGAAGTGCTCATTCTTCGTAACTATGTAAGTGAATTATATCCCAAATTGCTGAGTAGTAAAAACAATCTCACAAAATCTTCAAAATATAAAATATTGTTGATAGGTGATAGTCATCTAAGAGGCTACACAGAAAATATGAAACACTATTTGAATGATCAGTTCCAAGTAAGTGGTTACATTAAACCTGGAGCTGGTACCAAAATAATATTGGAACAAGCTACAAAAGATGTTGATAATTTGCTAGACAAATATTTTATTATTTGTTGTGGGTCAAACGATATTGGTAGAGTAAAATTAAGTACGGTTTTTAATGATTTTATTGAATTCATTAAGACAGTCACTGATACAAATGTGATTCTTTTAACAGTCCCTTATAGGCTTGACCTAAAACGTCCTAATATTACTCTTGATAAAATTACTAATTTTAATAGAAAACTACTCAAGCTCAAAAAACTATTTCCACATCTCAGTCTGATGGAGATAAATTAAAATAGACACTTGTGTATTAAACATGGATTACACTTGAATGATCTGGGTAAAGAAATACTATCATTCAGTTTAGTTTTAAGATTTTTTCTCTTATAGAGAAGGAAAATAATCTCAGCACAAATATCATAGCGCTCAGATACCATGAAGTTCAACCTTGAACAATTAGTTCTTCTGTAAATCAACTTTTTGCACTGACTTCAGTTGAGATTGTTGAAAATACATTAGTAAAGCGTATTAGAAAGAAGCCTGTACCAAAAGCAAAGGATTTTTATGGGAAATTTAAAATTAACTACTAAATGCTATAACACATGTAATTCAAGTGCAGTACATTCTCCCAAATTAAATA